TCCGCGTGCCGCCAATCTCCGTGGCCGCTCCTTCCGATGCACACCATCGTGCGTCGCTTGCGTCGACGTCACTTACCTGTGCACCAATTCGACCCTTAGACCTATTACGCGCATCATGGTACGATGCGCGTTCTTTGCTCGTGCTCGCACCCTTGTCGCCTACCGACTCCAAGTGCTCGTCCGATTCCTTAAGCTCTCCCGACGGCCATGGATCCCATCTATCCAACCCAATACAATCACCAGCTCTCCAAATCCAACCATCCTCCATTCTACTCTTACCTCCCCTTCAAGCCACCATCTTGCGAACTCGCCTTTTACTCGCACAAGGCTTGCACCAACATTGACTTGCTTTTCGAACCTTTGCTTTGGCTTTCCTTTGAATTCGTTTGGTCTTGCGTCTCTTAGGCTTTAGCTTAGCTCGTGGACCACATCCTTTCGGCCAATCTCGTACACATGATGGCCGGTGAATATGACAAGATGGCTCCTCCAACATATTTTCTAGCCAAATATTGAGACCAACGCCACCTTCATCCTCCGACTCGCCTGGGTTGATGACCACTTCCGTATCACACTTGTGTCGTGCCTACCTGCGCCAGGCACGCGCGCGCGCTTACCTGTGCGTGCCCGAACTACCCGCTGCCTGCCTGCGCGTGCATCCGTCTGCGCGTGGCCCCGTGCACCACTGGCCACCTGCGCGCATGTTGCGCGCCCACGTGCGTGCATAGTGCCTGTTGGGCACCCGACTAGCATGCATTCCATTCTTTCGGGCCACCTGGTATTTTAGCCACCCCCACCAAGTTTCACATCATCGATAAGCATCCCGAAACCATCGATGGCACGTCCTTTTGAGTCGTGGCCTCATCCGTGCTCGTCTACGCCAATGCGCGTGTGCGCGCCCTTGCTTAATGCGCCCTTTCATGCTTGTGAGCGTTGCTATCCTCGTAACCACCTTCTCGCGTGTCCTTGTGCACTTCCATGCGCGACCTCGTGTTCATATTGACTCGTGCCGCTTCACATGTGCTTGAGTGCCTCGCATACGAGCTTGCACCCGTCTTTTAGGCCATGCTTGCATCGTTTTGGCCCTATTTTCAGCCTCCTCGAGTCCTCTTGGCTCTCGGCCCTTCTTGTCACAGGGGTCCAGAACCCACTTCCGTATCACCCAGGCCCTGCGCGTCCCTGCCACCGTCCGAGCCCCGATCGCCTCCTGCGCCTCCCCGTGCACCCGCGTGATACAGAAGTGGTCATCAACCCAGGCGAATCCGACGAGGAAGGTGACGATGGTCTCGACATATGGCTGGAAAACATGCTGGAGAAGCCGACAAGTCCAATATACCGGCCATCATGTGTACAAGATTGGCCAAATGGAGGTGGTCCGCAATCCAACCTTAAGCCGAAGAAACGCAGGACCAAACAAGCCCGAAGGAAACGCAAGGTAAAGGCTAAGGAATCATACTGTTGGTGTAAGCCTTGTACAAGGAAGAGACATGCACGAAAGAAGGAGGCTAGAAGACGTGGTTTGCGATGGGTTGACAAAGGGCGGTGGATACCAGCGGAGGATTGTGAGAGGTTGAAAGGTTGGGACCCATGGCCCGAACCAACGGTGACGATCGCTGACGAGAAGGGCGACGACGATCGGCTAGTGGGCGAATGGCACGCATCGACCCATGATGCGCGCGGTTGGACAGAACAAGATGATGTACGCGGGCAAGTCGCGGACGTCGACTGGGACGCGCTGGCGTTCGGTGGCGTAACGACGGGGTGCGATAAGGGCGCGGATGGGCAGTTAGCGGGAGTGAGCGGTACGGGCAATGCCGTGGTGATGCGGATGTGGCTTTCGAGGCCCGAGAACGTCGTGAGCCGATGGCCGAGACGATCCGAAAAGGCAGAGAAAAGGGCCAAAACCACGCATGCATGGCCTAAAAGATGTACGCGAGCTCGAATACGAGGACACACGCCCGAAGATCACGCACGGTGCGCGTGCGACGTGAGGTTCAAACACGGACGCGGCGTGACTTGAACGTCAAAATTGACAAGAAGCTTCTAGAAGATTCAAGTCCAAGATTCTAGAAGACA